CACCCAATAGCCCCCATTCTGTTCTGTTTCTCCTGCCCACAACAGAGAGATCTCCACGGCCAAAGTCCTGTTTTCTTGAGCTGGAGTTCCTGCATGTGCTCCGGGGAGGCGCAGATACTCGGGAATGGGGTCCCTCTCCCTACCATCCCTCAGTCTCCCTGCCTGGGGCGCATGCCTGGGCCAGACCAGTGAACACCCACAGGCCAGCAGGGACCCAGAGGTCCGAGGAGCCACCTCAGAGGTGGAAGAACGGAAGCCTCATTACAAGATTCCTCCACGCGCAGGCAATGGTGAATAATTTATGTACGAGGCGGAGGAGACAATAAATCAGCAGCGATGATTAACATGAGCTGTTTTACGTGTGAGAAAGATCTATGGCAGGAGGCTGCCAGGTTGCTGGTGATTAATGCTGCTGCTTGCACTGGCTTCTGCGCCTTTATATTCAATTACGGGCCTGGAGTATGTGTGGGGTCCTGGGGATGGCATGGGGAGACAGGGAGCCCAGGAAGGGAACAGTTGATGCCTATGAGGTTGAGGTGAAACAGGTGGCAGCCTATCCCTGTGGGCACCTTTACTGATGAGAAGGTTAAGTTAGTGGGATGGAGCAGTGGCTGTTTCTGTAATGGGAGTCACTTTGTGTCTGGAGTCATGTCTAAATACTAGCCAAGGGGGTGTGCTGGGAGGGGGCACCGATGAAAGGAGGTGTCCTTGAGTCAAATGTTGGGTTTCTAACCCCCTGCCCCATGTTGCCACCATGAGCGAAGTAACACCAACCAGCCAGCTAGGGTGTGGGTGGTAGTTAATGCTGTAAAAAGTTACTTGTCAGCAACAGAGCCAGGGAGCTAGGTCCTGCCTCCACATCCTCATCAGGGATGATAGCAGCGGGGCAGGCTGGGAAGGAATGCTCTGGGTGCCCGCCTCCCCGCTGACCTAGGAAGCCCTGGAAGGCGCCCTCCCTGGATTCCCACACTTGGGCCTCTCGTCCTCAGCCAGCTCCAGCTGGCCCCCATCAGTGCCGGGGTTTCCAAAGACCAGTGGCGGCTTTGGGGTTAAGCGATTTCCCCTTGCCCAGCCCCTCCCAATCCTGGCTCCTATTAGCTCCTTCCTCCTCCTCCTCCTCCTTCTCCTCTTCCTCCTCCTCCTCTTCCTCTTCCTCCTTGTCTGATACCATGGCAATCAAGGGGCAGCTGGGGGAGCCATCTGTGAGCAGGGCTGACTTGAGGGGGAGGTGGGCTGGGGGTAGGGGCCTCAGTTTTGGCATCTAGAATATGTGCACGACAACCCAGTTGCTGGCTCCTGCAACCCAGGTGCTCCAAGAAGCAGAGGCCCAGGCCGGACTCCTTAGGGGGAAGGCTTGGGAGGTAAGGGTGGGGCTGGGGAGTACCCTGCATCATCCTGCAGCTGGGGACTCAGCAGGGCGGCGAGGAGTCCCTGAGCCACGTAGCCTGCACTGCCCACCAAGCAGCCTGCCTGCTGTGCCCACTGCATTGTCACTGCCCAGGAGCCCCTGGGGGGAGTGGGAGACGGGCTGAGGCACAGACACAGGGATGAATCTCCCTGTGAGCCCTGCAGCGAGAGGTCTAGGGGGTCTCCCCTGCCGGGGCACAGGGCTCTGCTGTCCCCAGAACCCGGTCAAAGCCCCAAATGGAGGGGTCTATTTCCTGGGGCTGCTGCTCCCATGACTCCAGACTGGCCTAAACAAACAGGAACCTGTGCTCTCCCCGTTCTGGGGCCAGAATCTGAAACTGGGGTGTCTGGGGCTGTGCTCCCTCCGAGGGCTCCAGGGGAGTCCTTCCTGCCTCTTCGGCTTCTGGAGGCCCCTGGCCGCATCCCTTTAATCTTCACGTGGCCCCTCCTCTGTCCTCACGTGACTTCTCCCACGCATGTCCCCACCACCTGTTCACATGCCCATTCTTGCGTGATCACGTGGCCCCAACCCCTTGTTCATGTGGCCTCACCCACTTGTTCACAGGCCTATGCTCGTGAGTTCATGAGGCCCCATCCCCTTGAGACCTTGCATGGTCCCTGTTTTGGGGTGCCAACCTCCCTGGTTGGCTCTCTGCCCCTGCTCTCACACTTGTCAACAGTCCCTTTGCCAAAGTCCTTCCAGAAAATCGTTTGAGTATGCCATCTCTTTCCTGCTGGGACTGTGTCAGCTGGGACTGAAAAGGAGACAGGAGAGCAGTGGCTCGTCCAGAGTCCAAGCAAGAGGTCCAGAGGGGCCTGTGCAGTCCCTGGAAGGTTGAGGGAGGGAAAGGTGGTGAGGCGGGGTGCTTATTAGGGAGTGGAAAGCCCTCGGTGCAAGTGGGGTGCACACACAATCACCCCACACTCCTGTGAGGAGCAGCTGTAGCCCACTGTACAGGTGAGGCTACTGCAGCACAGAGAAGGCGAGCAACTTCCTCGAGGGCACACAGCAGTAAAAGGGCAGAGCTAGAAATGGAACCCTGGCTGCCCACAGCCTGTGTCTCCTTTACCTGTGACCTCTGGGTAAGCGGTCCCTCATCCTGTGGCCATTGGCTCTGATGGGCTTCACCCTTCCCCCCACCCGCTCCTCCACCCCCAGCGGTCAGGGGTCCTGTCACTGCACCAGTGCCTCTGGGCAGCTGCTCTTTTTGTCCCCTGGTCCCTCCCAGCTGGTAACCTTGGCAGGGTCCCGCTACACTGGGGGGAGGGCCTTGTGTGGAGAACACCCCACCTCCCCTCCCCATCTGTGGCTTGGATTACAAAGTACCATTTTTCCTGTGTCTGGCTTCTGCCACCTGCCTCCCCTGGCAGATTTTGTTTTACCTCAAAAAGAAATTGACTCAGGGTCTGCAAACCGCTGACTTCCTGCATTTGCTCTGTGAGACGTGGCTCTGCCTCAGTGCTGCCTGGTCCAAGTCCCTGATGCCACCCGACCTCCGACCTCCGTGGCAGCATCTCTCATTCCCTAGTTCTCAAACCCCAGGTTCAATGACAGCATCTCTCATTCAGTGCACAGCACCCTTAGCGCTCCCCTGCAGCTCCAGGGACCTGCTGAGCCCAGGGCCCCAGCCTGTCACTAGCCTCCCAGGTCCTGCCTGCAGCCCCAGGGTCCTCAAACCAGTCTGGGAGGGGCTGGTGGGTTGACCCCTTAAACAGAGGGGTGCAGACATCAGGTGGGCACCCTGCCCCTCCTGCCCCACCCCCCACCCCACCTTCCGGAAATGCCCTGAGCTGACGACCTACCCCTGGAGGGCTCAGCCTGTGCAGTGCGGCCGCCAGAGGGGACCCGTCTGCAGAGTGGCAGGCGGAACAGGCTTCCCAGGGCAGCTGGCCCCAAAGCCATCCTCAGCCTCCCACTTACCCCTTCTGAAGGGTAACCGGGTGTCAACCCAGATCCTTGTACTCATCTTATTGTTTCCATATGTTCAACATTTTCACGTTTCAAGGTTTTTTTAATGTTTGACTTACTTCTAGTTGAATCAGTTACCAGATGCCCAGCGTTAACTCCTTTCCAATCATCCCAGATGTTGCCAACTGGCTGAATTATATGCCTTTCTGTGTAAACTTTAAAGATCTAAGAAACTTATTTGTAGAAGTTATGGCTTAGCCTGTCACTGCCTTTGCTGAACTCATTGGCATGTTTTGCCACATCTACTTAGCAGGGGTTACATCGCCCACAAAGTTCACACCCACGAAAGAGTACTTTCCAGAAAGACACGGGATCGCCGCTGAAGGTGACCTTGCAAAAGGACAACAGTCACCAGAGAGCAGCTGGCAGCCTCAGGACTTCTGGGTGGGGCTGGGGCACACCCCCTGCATTGCCATGATTAAGGGCTGGTCACAGGTACAAGAGTCTCAAGTCATTCTTTTTTTAACATCAGGAGCTGATTGCTTTCTAAGTCACATCTCACAGTCAGGCTCTGGGGCTGCCGCACCTGCCCTCCCTCTGTGTGATGGACATGTGGTGGGGGATCCCAGCACGCAGCTGGCCCCACTGTGCACACTGTGCCTGAGGGTGTGTGGGGGATGAAGTGAGTAGAATAATAACCCTCCTATCACCATAATCATCCCTGTTGCAGGTGAGGACATGGAGGCGCAAGTCATTAAGTGACTCGGTGCAGCTCACGTAGCCAGTGAGTCTTGGACCCAGGGGCAGGTCGTGGCAGCCAAGAACGCCGGCTCTCTGGGCTGGCTTCTGTCTTGACAGCATAACATAAACACTAGCTCTCATGGCGTCAACCCAGATCTCAGGTTTCAGCTCTTTTAAGTTGAAAACAGAATTTAAGCAGAACTGTAGATGTACAAACCCAAGTCTGCCAACAAACAGCAAACCAAATAGTGGATGTGACCACATAAGATTCCGGTCTAGTCCACCGGACTGAGAACGACACAGCAGGCACCTGTGCTGACACCAGTGTTACCTGTGGGGTGGTTGTGCGTCATCCTGCCGCACTCGATGCTGACTTCGATCAGGGTCTCCAGCCGCTCGGGCTTCCAGTACCGCATGCCGATGCACATCGCTTTGGTGGCAGCTCCAAACCCCGAACCTACATGGACCATGAAATACCTCATTTTAGACTTTTGCTCCAATAATTCCACTTCAGGCAATCTGGTTTTCATGAATAATCTTAAAAAACGTATAAAAATTGATGTAATAACATGTTTATCATAGTGTCACTTGGATGAGTGAAAAATAGACACATCATCCAAATGCCTGACAAAGAAGAGATTGAATAAATTGCAAAGCATCCATGTGTGGAATGTTATTTAGTCATTAAATAACTCATTCTATGCTTCTACTGGGGACAATGTAGAAGACAGAATTGTGTACACCGTGTGCTTTCAATCATATATATTTTCTCTTTTTAAAAACAACTTCATGAGTTATAATTGACACATAATCAACTGCATGTATTTGAAGTATGCAAGTTGATGATTTTTGACATATCATATACCCATGAAACCAGCTCCTAAAGATAGTGAACATATCCATCACCCTAAAAAGTTTTCCCTGCCCCTCCTGCCATCCCCATCAATCACTCATCTGGCACTACAAATTAGTTTGCATTTTCTATAAATTTATATAAACAGGATCATACAGAACGTACTTTTTTTTCCCTGACTTCTTCCACTCAGCATAACTACTTTGAGATACACCACTGATGTGTATCAATAGCTGACTCCCTTTTGTTGCTGAATAGTACTCCACTGTATGGATGTACCACAACTGATTTATCCATTTACCTGTTGATGAACATTTGGGTTGTTTCTGGTTTGAGGCTATTACAAATAAGATGCTATGAACATTCATAGCCAAATCTTTGTGTGGACATATGCTTTACCTCCGAGTGGAACATGTAGCTCTCATGGTAGATGAATGTTTAACTTTTTAGAAACGACAAACAGTTTCCAAAGTGGATGTACCGTTCTACATCCCATCAGCAGCTCCTCCACGCCTTTGACCTCATTTGCTACGGCCAATCTTTTTAACTACAGCCATTCTCTTAGGTATGCAGTAGTATCTCATTGTGATTTTAATTTGCATTTTTGTAATGATTAATGATGTTAAGTGTGTTTTCACCCACTTATTTGCCATCCATATCTCTTCTTTGGTAAAGTGTTCATTTAAATAGTTCTCCCATTTTTGTATTGGATTGCTTGTTTTCTTGTTATTTTTAAGAGTTCTTTATACACTCTGGATTGAAATCTTTTATCAGATATATGCTTTGCAAATATTTCCTCTCAATATGTGGCTTGCCTTTTCATTCTTTTTTTAAATATTTTTTTTTATTGATTTCAGAGAGGAAAGGAGGAGAGAGAAATAGAAGTATATGCCTGACAAAGAAGAGATTGAATAAATTGCAAAGCATCCATGTGTGGAATGTTATTTAGTCATTAAATAACTCATTCTATGCTTCTACTGGGGACAATGTAGAAGACAGAATTGTGTACACCGTGTGCTTTCAATCATATATATTTTCTCTTTTTAAAAACAACTTCATGAGTTATAATTGACACATAATCAACTGCATGTATTTGAAGTATGCAAGTTGATGATTTTTGACATATCATATACCCATGAAACCAGCTCCTAAAGATAGTGAACATATCCATCACCCCAAAAAGTTTTCCCTGTCCCTCCTGCCATCCCCATCAACCACTCATCTGGCACTACAAATTAGTTTACATTTTCTATAAATTTATATAAACAAGATCATACAGAACGTACTTTTTTTTCCCTGACTTCTTCCACTCAGCATAACTACTTTGAGATACACCACTGATGTGTATCAATAGCTGACTCCCTTTTGTTGCTGAATAGTACTCCACTGTATGGATGTACCACAACTGATTTATCCATTTACCTGTTGATGAACATTTGGGTTGTTTCTGGTTTGAGGCTATTACAAATAAGATGCTATGAACATTCATAGCCAAATCTTTGTGTGGACATATGCTTTACCTCCGAGTGGAACATGTAGCTCTCATGGTAGATGAATGTTTAACTTTTTAGAAACGACAAACAGTTTCCAAAGTGGATGTACCGTTCTACATCCCATCAGCAGCTCCTCCACGCCTTTGACCTCATTTGCTACGGTCAATCTTTTTAACTACAGCCATTCTCTTAGGTATGCAGTAGTATCTCATTGTGATTTTAATTTGCATTTTTGTAATGATTAATGATGTTAAGTGTGTTTTCACCCACTTATTTGCCATCCATATCTCTTCTTTGGTACAAAAAGAAATTGACTCAGGGTCTGCAAACCGCTGACTTCCTGCATTTGCTCTGTGAGACGTGGCTCTGCCTCAGTGCTGCCTGGTCCAAGTCCCTGATGCCACCCGACCTCCGACCTCCGTGGCAGCATCTTTCATTCCCTAGTTCTCAAACCCCGGGTTCAGTGACAGCATCTCTCATTCAGTGCACAGCACCCTCAGTGCTCCCCTGCAGCTCCAGGGACCTGCTGAGCCCAGGGCCCCAGCCTGTCACTAGCCTCCCAGGTCCTGCCTGCAGCCCCAGGGTCCTCAAACCAGTCTGGGAGGGGCTGGTGGGTTGACCCCTTAAACAGAGGGGTGCAGACATCAGGTGGGAACTCAGCCCCACTCTCCAATGATCACCTGGCACAGCCCCCTGATCAGGTGCCCACTTAGAGCCATCACCTGGCCCTGGCCCCTGATCACATGCCCACTTCCGGCCATCACCTGGCACAACCCCCTGATCAGGTGCCCACTTAAGGGCCATCATCTGGCCCTGGCCCCTGATCAGATGCCCACTTCTGGCCATCAGGTGGCTCTGCCCCTGATCACATGCCCACTTCCGGCCATCACCTGGCACAACCCCCTGATCAGGTGCCCACTTAAGGGCCATCATCTGGCCCTGGCCCCTGATCAGATGCCCACTTCTGGCCATCAGGTGGCTCTGCCCCTGATCACATGCCCACTTCCGGCCATCACCTGGCACAACCCCCTGATCAGGTGCCCACTTAAGGGCCATCATCTGGCCCTGGCCCCTGATCAGATGCCCACTTCTGGCCATCAGGTGGCTCTGCCCCTGATCACATGCCCACTTCCGGCCATCACCTGGCACAACCCCCTGATCAGGTGCCCACTTAAGGGCCATCATCTGGCCCTGGCCCCTGATCAGATGCCCACTTCTGGCCATCAGGTGGCTCTGCCCCTGATCACATGCCCACTTCCGGCCATCACCTGGCACAACCCCCTGATCAGGTGCCCACTTAAGGGCCATCATCTGGCCCTGGCCCCTGATCAGATGCCCACTTCTGGCCATCAGGTGGCTCTGCCCCTGATCACATGCCCACTTCCGGCCATCACCTGGCACAACCCCCTGATCAGGTGCCCACTTAAGGGCCATCATCTGGCCCTGGCCCCTGATCAGATGCCCACTTCTGGCCATCAGGTGGCTCTGCCCCTGATCACATGCCCACTTCCGGCCATCACCTGGCACAACCCCCTGATCAGGTGCCCACTTAAGGGCCATCATCTGGCCCTGGCCCCTGATCAGATGCCCACTTCTGGCCATCAGGTGGCTCTGCCCCTGATCACATGCCCACTTCCGGCCATCACCTGGCACAACCCCCTGATCAGGTGCCCACTTAAGGGCCATCATCTGGCCCTGGCCCCTGATCAGATGCCCACTTCTGGCCATCAGGTGGCTCTGCCCCTGATCACATGCCCACTTCCGGCCATCACCTGGCACAACCCCCTGATCAGGTGCCCACTTAAGGGCCATCATCTGGCCCTGGCCCCTGATCAGATGCCCACTTCTGGCCATCAGGTGGCTCTGCCCCTGATCACATGCCCACTTCCGGCCATCACCTGGCACAACCCCCTGATCAGGTGCCCACTTAAGGGCCATCATCTGGCCCTGGCCCCTGATCAGATGCCCACTTCTGGCCATCAGGTGGCTCTGCCCCTGATCACATGCCCACTTCCGGCCATCACCTGGCACAACCCCCTGATCAGGTGCCCACTTAAGGGCCATCATCTGGCCCTGGCCCCTGATCAGATGCCCACTTCTGGCCATCAGGTGGCTCTGCCCCTGATCACATGCCCACTTCCGGCCATCACCTGGCACAACCCCCTGATCAGGTGCCCACTTAAGGGCCATCATCTGGCCCTGGCCCCTGATCAGATGCCCACTTCTGGCCATCAGGTGGCTCTGCCCCTGATCACATGCCCACTTCCGGCCATCACCTGGCACAACCCCCTGATCAGGTGCCCACTTAAGGGCCATCATCTGGCCCTGGCCCCTGATCAGATGCCCACTTCTGGCCATCAGGTGGCTCTGCCCCTGATCACATGCCCACTTCCGGCCATCACCTGGCACAACCCCCTGATCAGGTGCCCACTTAAGGGCCATCATCTGGCCCTGGCCCCTGATCAGATGCCCACTTCTGGCCATCAGGTGGCTCTGCCCCTGATCACATGCCCACTTCCGGCCATCACCTGGCACAACCCCCTGATCAGGTGCCCACTTAAGGGCCATCATCTGGCCCTGGCCCCTGATCAGATGCCCACTTCTGGCCATCAGGTGGCTCTGCCCCTGATCACATGCCCACTTCCGGCCATCACCTGGCACAACCCCCTGATCAGGTGCCCACTTAAGGGCCATCATCTGGCCCTGGCCCCTGATCAGATGCCCACTTCTGGCCATCAGGTGGCTCTGCCCCTGATCACATGCCCACTTCCGGCCATCACCTGGCACAACCCCCTGATCAGGTGCCCACTTAAGGGCCATCATCTGGCCCTGGCCCCTGATCAGATGCCCACTTCTGGCCATCAGGTGGCTCTGCCCCTGATCACATGCCCACTTCCGGCCATCACCTGGCACAACCCCCTGATCAGGTGCCCACTTAAGGGCCATCATCTGGCCCTGGCCCCTGATCAGATGCCCACTTCTGGCCATCAGGTGGCTCTGCCCCTGATCACATGCCCACTTCCGGCCATCACCTGGCACAAAAAAAAATTTTTTTTAAAGTTGTATGCAGCTGGGTATTTGCTGGTTCTCCATTTTCAGGTTTAGTTTAAAACTGAATTTCTTTTCATTTTATCGCAGAAACAGGTGTGATATAGAAGCCTTTCATTCTTTTAACAGACTTCTGGGGAGCAGAAGAATGGATTTGGGAAGTATTGTCTTCTTCAATTTCCTGGAAGAGTTGTGTACAATTGGTATTATTTCCTTTTTAGAATTCCTCAGTGAGGCTGTCTGGATCTGGAGCTTTCTTTGTAATGTCTTTCACAGATATAATGTAATTTAGGTGATTGCTTACTCTTGAATGCCATTTGGTAGTTTGTATCTTTAAAGGAATTTGTCCATTTCATCTAGTTTGTTAAATTTATCAGCATAAAAATATTCATAATGTTTCTTTTCCCCCTTTTAGTGAAAGGTGAAAGATTCATACGATCTGAAGAGAAACCTTTTTTTCCCTTTTAATTTCTGTGGAAACTGTAGTGATGTCACTTCTTTCATTGTTGATACTGGTCATTTGTGTCTTCTTCTTTTTGCCCGATCATCTGCCTAGAGGATTATCACTTTTTTATCTTAAAAAATCAGCTTTTGTGGAGTTTCTCTGTTGTTTGTCTATATTTTCTTGGTCATAGATTTTCCCCCTGACCTTCATTGTCTCCTTTCTTCTGTTTTCTGTGGGTTTAATTTGCTCTTCTTTTTTTAGTTCCTTAAGGTGAAAATGGAAGTCATTGGTTTGAGACCTTAACATTAAAATCTCTGCCTATAATTGTGGCTTTATCTATTTCTCCCTACAGTTCTATTAGTTTTTGCTTTGTATATTTTGAAGGTTTGTTATTAGATACAGAAGTATTTATGTTGGTTACGTCTTCCTGACAAATGGATGCATTTGTCATGATGAAATCCCCCCCACCCCCGGCACAATATTTTTGCTACAAAACTTACTTTATGCATTTTTAATAGAATCACTCCAGCTTTCCTTTGATTAATGTTACATGGTATATCCTTTTTCATCTAACCTATGTGTGTCTTTATATTTAAAGTGCATTTTTTATAAGCATAATATAGTTGGGACTTACTTCTTTATTCCCTCTGAATCTCTGCCTTTTATTTGGGGTCTTTAGAACACTTATATTTGATGTGATTAGTGGTATGGTTAGGTTTAAGTCTATCATCTTGTTATTTATTTTCTATTTGTCCAATCTGTTATTTGTACCCCTTTCTATCTTTTTCTGCATTTTTTGTATTGAATATTATTGACGATTCCCTTACCAATCCCAGTTAAAGATTACCACTGTGTGGAGGATAGTAAAGACCATAACAGTGCCACCACCATAGGGAGAAGCCTATAGACCTACTCCTACTGAGCCGTCAACGGGTTCAGAGTCACCAAAGAAGACTCAACACATGGGCCTGGGTTGGAACAGAAAGAAGACACACAGCAAGACCCAAATTGGTAGCACGCTCTGTCTCCCAGGGCTGGTGGGTTTCTCCTGAAGTCAAGGCAGGGCAGCAGACTGCATGCACCCTCATGCTGCAGGTAAAACCTCATTCTCTCCCCACAGGGCTGATGTGCTGGTGGGGCTGGTTGTGTGCCATATGATGCTCACGCCTAAGCAGTACAGGCCGTTCACTGCAAACCCAAACAGGGAAAGACTTCTCTTATTAAGGAAAAGAATTTTGAGTCGAGTGACAGCTCTTCACCTGGTCTCCAGGTCAGGGGTACCGATTGGGCAAGCCGAGGGACGGCAGGGGCCTCACGATTTCCGCTTCCCCAGCAAATATTGTTAAAACGGTTCCATTTCACCTCTTTTGTCGGCTTACTAGTTATAACTATTTTGTTATTTTGGTGGTTGCTTTGGGCTCTTAGTCTAGATCAGCGGTCATCAACCGGTGGTCCATGGACCACTGATGGTCCCTGAGGTCCGAAAGGTTGGCGACCGCTGGTCTAGATTTTTAACCTAGAACAGTCTGCCTTTGCGTGATTTTGTATCATTTCATGCCTCCTATTAGAACCTTACGCTGCACACTCCATCTCTTTACTCCCTGCCTTTGTGCTGTTGCGCCATAGGTCTGCTTATACATAATTTATAAACCTTGCAGTACATTGCTATTACTTGCTAAAGTCCATTCTCTTTTAAATAACAAGTTAAGCCGAAACTGGTTTGGCTCAGTGGATAGAGCGTCGGCCTGCGGACTGAAGGGTCCCAGGTTCGATTCCGGTCAAGGGCATGTACCTTGGTTGCGGGCATATCCCCAGTGGGAGATGTGCAGGAGGCAGCTGGTCGATGTTTCTCTCTCATCGATGTTTCTAACTCTCTATCTCTCTCCCTTCCTCTCTGTGAAAAATCAATAAAATATATTTTAAAAAAAATAAAATAAATAAATAACAAGTTAAAACATCTCACTGTTTACCCATCTGGTGAGAGTTTCCATCAGTCCCATGCCTTTGTGTGGATCCCTATGTCCATCTGCTGTTTTTTCCCTTCTGCCTGAGTGACTTCCATTAGCATCTGCCAGTGTGACGGCTGGTGATGCCTCTTCAGCTTTTATTCACCCGAAAAAGGCCATGAGGGCTTGGTTCTGAAAGATAGTTTTTCTGGATGTAGGATTCTAGGTTGAAGTTGTTTCTTTTTACACCTTAATAATGTTGCTTGGCTAGCTCCTCTCTTCTGTTGCTGCTGCTGTCCTCACCTTGACTATAGGATGTGCGTTTTTCTCTTTAGCATCAGTTTTGAGCAATTTGACCACTATGTGCCTTGTAGTTTTCTTTGTGTCTTTTTGTATTTGCTTGGAATTTATTGAGTTTCTTGGATCTGTGAGTTTACGGTTTCATCAAATTTGGAAATATTTGGTCCCTGTTTCTTCAACTCTTTTTCACTTGTTCCCCTTCTCTCTGCAGAGGATTCCAGCTTCAGGTTGCTGGGTTGCTGAAGTTGTGCCATGGCTCACTAAGTGTCCTTTTCTTATTTTCGGATTCTTTTTTCTCTGTCTGTCCCATTTTGGATAGTTTCCTCAAACTCACTCATCTTTTCTTCTGAAATGTCTAACCTGTTCGTCTCGACCGATGTGTTTTTAAATTCAGACATTGTGGTGTTTTTTCTAGAAGTGTAATTTAGGTCTTTTATTATACCTCCTTGTTTCTACCTAACTTTTTGAAAGTATAGAATACATACTATTTTATATCCTTGTCTGATAAGTCAAGGTGAGGTTTCATCAAGTTTAATGTATTGATTTTTCTCTTTTTAATTGGCTTTATTTGATTGGATGCCATCCTTCAATGTAAACCCAGAGGGGCAGGTCCCACCTTCAGTATAAACCCAAAGGGGCAGGTCCCACTTCAGTATAAACCCAGAGGGGCAGGTCCAGAACCACAGGAGCCGAGGCCCTGGAGGCAGAGACTGTGGCTACCTAAATACATCCCCCATAAACACATGAAGTCTTCACAGAGACAGACATGTATGCAGGTGGTGTATGTTTCCCTTGATGTTTTAGCAAAAAATTTTTTACAAACTTAACGGGAAACCAGTGGAAAATATTTCTTAAAATAAACCAGGGATGGGTGGCAAAACTGCCGGGGAAGTTGGCGTCCTCTAAATAGACGCCCATGCTGCAAGCTGGCTCCCCAGGCGGCACGCTGCCCTACAAATCCTGGCAAATCCCTCCCAACCCGCACAAAGCAGCCAGGCGGCCGGCTAGTGGGCAGACAGATGGCCAGGGCCCGGGGCGGTTCTCTAGCATGCGGCTTTAGAGGCGGAAGCAAGCCTTCCCTCACCCTTCTCGTTGAAAGGTGTGTGCCAGGCAAGGAGATAGTTATCCGGCTTCAGCTGCGAGCAGCCGTCAATGGTAGCAGGGTCTGCTCGATGTTCTGGAAGCTTCTCCAGCACTTCCACGTAGTGCTTCACCATCTCCCGGTACAGGTCGTCCAGGCACCAGTAGTCTGGGGGAGGAAGGGGAAGGCGGGATCAGAGCGAGTGGGAGACGAGTCTGCTGGGTAAACCCCAACACAGCAGTGACAACAGAAGGGCAGCAAGTCAGTGGAAGAGGAGGAAGATTTTAGTGACCCATCTCACACCACCCGGGCTACCCAGAGAAATTGGACATGCAGACAAATAATTCACTTTAGAGTTCACCTAGATTTCAGACATCCTAGTTTGTGGTTGTGCTTATTACTTCAGTTACACACAGGAATCTAGAAAAAACCAAGATGCTTATACGCTAACAGCTCTGTCCATGTGAGGACAAGCGAGACCGACATCTGCCTGTTCCTTGGGGTTTCAAGGACCCACGTCTAACGCACCGGGAGTGAGTCTCTCCCATCTTCAATTCCCTCCTTCTCACACCCATGAAGCAGCCAACGCTCCCCAGGCATTGTCCCAAACTGCACCCCACTGCGTGAAGGTGTCCTGGGAACAAGTGTGGCCTCAGACCCTAGAAGATCACAGGGCAGGAGGACAGAGGGGCCAGCGCACACAGACCACCCGCCGTCTGCCCCGCAGGACACCTTCAATGATTCCATGCAGTCCTCCCAGGACCCTGTCAGGCTCCTATTGGTCACACTTGTGGCCTGTGGGCCGCATGCGGCCCAGCCAATATAACAGTACGTAGGAAACATTTTAATAAAAATGTTGTAATTAATTTTGTATTAATTTTTATAATATCCTGTTACACATAATTATTCATAACGAACTACAACGTTCGCTAATGACTGATTACTATAATCATGTTGCATTCATTTCCCTTACGCACCTTATGTACAGGTGCACCATTTCTCTCCACTAATACTAGCAGCAAATATTTTAGCAGCTGATTGCCACATCATTAGTCCTGGACTGACTTGTTTGGTGTGCGCAACAGGAAATATTTCACTTTCAGAGAACACGAAAAATAGGTTTATTTGTGTTACGCTTATTAATTTGTGCAGTTATTCAGTGTCTAGTAAGTTAATGTTCTATTATTTTATGTTAACTAGAAGCCTGGTGCATGAAATTCCTGCGGGGGGAGGGGGGTCCCTCAGCCCGGCCTGCACCCTCTCCAATCTGGGACATCCCTCTCGCAATCCGGGACTGCTGGCTCCTAACTGCTCACCTGCCTGCCTGCCTGATCACTCCTAACTGCCCTCCCCTGCCGGC